AAAAGTGATTTACTCGGCTGTAGTTTTAATCTTCTATCCTGTTTAGAAGCATAGTGGAACTTTGTGTCTCAGCTGATGTCGGAAGATTTTCCACAAACTGAAACAAATCTGGAAAGGGTACACCTGGCCAACTGGACAGTACAGGTTTTATTTATCTTTGTAATGATAAAAAAAAGGGATAAAAGGTAACAACACATGAGCTGACAAAGAAAATCCAGTCTGATGACACACCAGCTCTGTCGGATAATCCAAAAATCCTCCTCTGAATGCTACAACTCTGCGTTTTGGCCGTCTCTCAGACCGAAGCCTTCTAATCTTCTTGAGAATGAACCGACCTTTTCAACAAAACTGTACTGAGGCATCACTAGTTCACTAGGAATGATATTTTCTAACTAACAAAGCAGAAGAAAACCCACTTTGATGTTGCTGCTTGAACATCTTTTAGAGCCCGTTTATCTGAAATATTACAGCTGCTTACAGTTTTTGGCTGGCTGTGTGAATCGTTGCCAGATGAGCTATAGGAATGCCATTTGTGCTTATTTGTTGGGTGATTTTTGTGCTTTTGGTGTAATTAACTTCATCTGTGCCTTATTTTTTTGTTATTTTAATCCGAGTCTTCCAGCTCCAGCAGAGCTGAATGTCTGTGATGAGAGTTCACCGTTTAGTCCCAGCTCCGGTTCAGGAGGAGTGAAACAGTTTGTTTAGAAAGCCCCCCCACTGTGTTTAAAGCGTCTTTGTTGCTTTGCCCCTCAGGTTCATCTCCACAAATAACAAATAACCTACCATCTGTCAGCTTCTCAGATCACACTGTTTCTGTTCAGCTCTGAAGAAGTCATCCATCACGTCTGTCTGAAGTGTTCCTTTCTACTTTGATGTTCAAACCGGAACGCCCCCTTTCATCCGCTCTGGTTGCATAATAATGTGTACCTCATGTTTCTGGAGTCTCAGTCTAAACCCAGTGTGTGCCGTAACACTCTACTGGGCCGCTTTTTCTCTTGAGTTGAGCTTTTTGTTGGGATTGGTTCAGACTTATATTCAACATCGACTATGTCTTTCAGTTAAAAGTTAGTGAACTTGGTTTTCTGTTCTTTCTTTCGTCTCCTTGTGTTCCAAACTTTAAATTAGACCATCTAAACTTGAAAGCCCATCTCTAGACCTCTGATTCCAGTAGGTATCTCTCATGACATAATTAAAAGTAGAATCAGGTGTTTGTTCTTGTGATAATAGGAGTTTTGCCCTGTCCACACGTAGCCGGGGATCTGCCAAAACGTAAATATTTTTCTACGTTTTGGCCTGTCATCCACAAAAAAACTGAGTTTTTTCACACGAAAACGGATCTTTTTAAAAACTCCGGCCAAAGTGAAGATCTGCGTTTTCTCCGTTTTGGGTGTCTGCGTGTGGACAGACAAAACCGGAGTTTTAAGGTCCGCAACGTCACTTTCCGCGACAAAAAAATGCTGACATCACGTGTGCGACCTGTGTTTACACTAGCCGACAGCATGGATGCCCTCAGAGCTGCGCTCGCTTTATCAATTGTCCAAGCGCTTTTTGCTTGTTTGTTTTTGCAAGCGGAATTACTGCTCCTTGCGGAAGACCACAGACGAAGGACGAGGTTAAGAACGGGGGAAGTACTGCCGCCTACAGGTCTGGCATGTCCTTAACAACGTATTTATCCGGGTACGTGTGGACAGAGTTTGTTTTTTAAAACAAGGTGGTGTGGATGCAAGTTTCTGGAGGGGCGGATATTCGTTTTTCAAAACCCCGCTACGTGTGGACTAGTTCTAAATGAATCGGCCTGTAATGGAAGCTGTGTGTGGAAGAACCTTGGAATGTCAGCAGACTCAGATATGAACAGAGATACATTGATTACTGAAGGCCACAATCAGCTGCTCTGCTGTTCTTCTCCTGACCATCTCCGACCCCTCTGCCCCCCCCCCCCCCCCCCCCCCCCACACACACACACACACAACCTATCCATTCGGGTTTCAGATGAAAAAAGTTGAATCAGGATGAATATGTCTTTTATTCTCATTGACAGAGGATGTTTTGTTCACTTCACACTGCAACTACAGATTCCTTATATCCACACGGTTTAATTAATCTGTTCTTAACATCTCATCTGAGAAGGGTTTGTTCCAGTCTTCCAGATATATCATATATTAACTCCAGAAGAAAAAAAAAGTTGCAGCCACAACAGGGAGACTGTGATGCATTAAGGCATCGTTAAAAAAAACAGAGAAGTTGAAAACTCTGAAGAACAAAATGTCTTAACCAACTTTGAGGCGTATGTGAAAGTAAAATGCTAGAAGAGTGAGATTGTTTTACTAGAAACATCTCAAACATTCATGGGGTTCACAAGTTCAAATCCTGGAGCAGCCGGTTTGCAGTTAGCATGTTCTTCCCGTGCAGTTGTGAGTTTACTCTGGACTAATGACTGTTTTTGTGTCTCTGTGTGCCCTCTTTGAAAAAAAAAATTATGCCGCCAACTTGCTGCAACGCCGTGGTGACAGGCCTAGGTCAGACCGTGGTGGTGATGTAGCGAAATCGTGTACTTTATACTAAATATTATGTGATCGCAGTATGAAGGGGGTATGTGCTTTATAACTGTAAAGCACACTGAATTGCCTCTGTGTTTGAAATGTGCTCACAACCACCTTCCTCACGATCCACTGATTTCCCTCTTTCCTATTCACTCTCTCTCTTTCTTAACATTTTTTTTAAATCACACTTGTCCCGCTCTGAACTTGAGACAGTTCTCCACACCTTCATCTCCTCACGCTTAGACTACTGTAACTCTCTTTTCACGTGTCTGAGCAGAACCTCCCTGAACCGTCTACAGGTGGTTCAGAACGCCTGTGCTCGGCTTCTGACCAAGTCCTCCAAACACACCCACATCACCCCGCTTCTCCTCCAGCTTCACTGGCTGCCAGTCAACTTCAGGGTTCATTTCAAGATCCTGGTTCTGGTCTATAGGGCCTTACATGGACAAGCACCATCTTACATTGGAGATCTTCTTAGTCCCTACACCCCCAGCAGGTCCCTGAGGTCCAGTGATCAAAGCCTACTGGTTGTGCAGCACCAGGCTAAAGACCAAAGGTGACAGATCATTTGCTGCTGTGGCCCCCAGACTCTGGAACTCTCTCCCCCTGAGCCTGAGATCAGTGGACTCAGTGGTCTCCTTTAAAAAGCAGCTGAAGACTCACCTGTTCAGGCTGGCTTTTGTATGACCTTCTTCACCTCTCTCTCTTTATTCTGCTCTCCCCACCTATTCCACCTTCCTCAGGATCCACTGACTTCCCTCTTTCCTGTTCACTCTCTCTCTTTCTTCACCTTTTTTTAACCACAATTGCCTATTTTTGCTCATTTGAAATATATTTTGAAACATTTTCTAAATGCTTTTTTATATTTTAACTTTTTTGTTTTTGTGAAGCGCCTCGTGATTTTTATCTTGAGAGGCGCTATAGAAATGATACTTTCTTCTTCTTCTTCTTCTATAAATAAAGCTGCCTTTCCTATAGGCGGTCTCTGTGCTGCTGCAGATGTACCATTTAATTTGGACATAACTTGGTTTTTATTGCGATGGAAGCTGTGCTTGTTACGTTTTTGTGTCCCCCCCCCCCCCCCCCCCCCACACACACACACACACTTTTTCCAAAGTCAAGTTTTGACTCCTGCACTTTTTACCATCCAAAAACAATATTATTTTATATTAAATTGACTGGTTGAGCTCTAGGACTAAGCGGAAAACAACCATTTGGGTTGAAGCCTGTTTCCCATTAGAACATACTGTAAAGTTACCCCCCCCCCCCCCCCCCCCTCGTGTCCCCTGCACTTCTAAAGTGAAAATTACGTCCATGGTTGTTGGCACTCAAAGCCTTTTTTTAACAAGCTTATTTTATTGAACTAGTGTTAGCAAACTGAAACCTGATTGAAATGAATTTGTTTTCCAACAACCTTCCAGAAGACTGAAATATGTCATTTCTGGTTGGTACATTTTTACTCTGGGGGCAAAAATGGAAATACCAAAGTACTAAAATACTGTAAGTGCACATTTTGGAGGTCTTTCACATTACCTTCATGTCTCAGTGACATGATTTCTGATCAGAGAGACGTTGAACTCCGCTGAAGTCAGACATCCCTTCTTAAATGCACCGAACATGAAGTGAGTAGAGACTCGGTGTCTGGAATAAAGATAAGTCAGTCTTTTGTGCGAATGTTGAACATGTTTACTCAGAATATGGTGTTCCCTGAACTAGTCCTGAGAGGAGCTACCTCAAACACTGATACGAATTTTCTGGCGGAGTCGTCTTTTGATTAAATTTGATGTTCTCCTTTTTGGTCTCCCCCATAAATCCCTCCATCGGCTCCATCTCCTCCAAAATGCTGCTGCACGGATCATCACTCGTACCCCCTATAGAGATCACATCAGCCCTGTTCTTCAGCGTCTCCACTGGCTGCCTACTGAACACAGAATCTCATTCAAAATCCTGCTTCTCACCTACAAATGTATCCACTGTCTCGCCCCTCCTTACCTCTCCGATCTCATCCACGTTGCTGTCCCATCTCGCTCCCTCAGGTCTTCCTCTGCCATTCACCTCGTGGTTCCTCCTGCTCATCTCACCACCGTTGGAAACAGAGCTTTCAGTCGCTCTGCTCCTCGGCTCTGGAACTCACTTCCTCCTGACATCCGAAACACAGACTCCCTCCTCTCATTCAAATCCAAACTCAAAACTCACCTGTTCAACCTGGCTTACACTCTCTAGCCCACAAACTCTTTACTCTGACATTTATAGCATACTTTTTGTAATTTAATTGTTTAAATTATCTTATTCTTATTTGTGTGTAAGTTTTATCATGTTTTGTGATGTGACCTTGGGTTTTGAAAGGCGCCTATAGATTAAATGCATTATTATTATTATTATTAACTTCTCTGACTACATAATAGGATACTAATAGTGGATGTTTGTTTGTGTAACTGATCGGTGTGTTTCTTCTCGTAGACGAGATCATGCAGCAGGACATCAGGCCTCTTCTGGCTGTGGACATCATAGAGCAGCTTCATCGCCAGTTTGCATTGCTTTCAGGTCAGTAAAGACTCGTTTGTCCCATAAGCTGTGCCTGGAATAGTACAAATATCAATCTTTAAACATTTTCTAAATGCATTTTTTATATTTTAACATTTTTTTTGTTTTTGTGAAGCGCCTCGTGATTTTTATCTTGAGAGGCGCTATAGAAATAATATTTTCTTCTTCTTCTTCTTCTTCTTCTTCTTCTTCTTCTTCTTCTTCTTCCTCTTCTTCTTCTTCTTCAATCATCATAAAATGTGTGGTTTCAGCAAGCTTTATTTATAAAGCAATTTAAAAACAGCCAACATAGACACTGAAACATTAAACAAAGACAACATAAATACAATGAAACCTAGTAAAACATGTAAAATACACTAAAACTGAAAACAATGTACACAACTCATACTGAGTAGAACGATAAACTCCATATGGACTGTGACATGGAGATGAAATTAAAGGTTGAATATGGAAAAATGTAATAAAAAGCTGGGTTTATGTTTACAATGTAAACTGCATGGTGACGCAGTTGTTAGGACTGCTGCCTCGCAGCACAAAGGTTGCTGGTTCGAAACTCGGCTGCAGCCTTTCTGCGTGGAGTAGCGTGTTCTCCCCGTGCATGCGTGGGTTTCCTCCGGGTACTCCGGTTTCTCCCACAGATCACAACGTGCCCTATAGGTTACAAATTGTAAGTCGCTTTGGATAAAAGCGTCTGCCAAATAAATAAACATAAACAAATAAACATAAACATCTACCAGCCAATAGAGGGCACTGTTGCGGGATGCCAAACAGTCCCCTCAGTACAGTGAGGCTGGCACTGTGGAAATGGCGGACTCGGCAAGTCAAGCAAAGGTGACAGATCATTTGCTGCTGTGGTCCCCAGACTCTGGAACTCTCTCCCCCTGAGTCTGACATCAGTGGACTCAGGGGTCTCCTTTAAAAAGCAGCTGAAGACTCACTTGTTCAGGCTGGCTTTTGTGTGACTTTCATCACCACCCTCTCCTTATTCTGTTCTTTCCACCAACTCCACTTTTCCTGGGATCAACCGATTTCCCTCTTTCATATTGTCTTTCCCCCCTTTTTTTTTTTTACATTTTTTAATCGCAATTCTTTTCAGATTTCAGCCATATTTTTAATCTTTTTTTTATATTTAAAAATGTTTGTTTCCTTTGAAGCGGAGGAGAAGGAGCGACCATAAAAGATCTAAATCCAGAGTGAGTTTAGGTGAAGCCTACAACAGATGAAACCAAATAAAACATGTCACTCATCGGCAGTGAATCTGGTATCCCGACGACTGGAAACCCTGTTCTATTGTTGCAACTACAACCTCCACACACTAGATGTCGCTTTGGTGTTCGTGTTCCGTATTCAACCTTTAACTGTAAAAAAAAAAAGATATATATTTTTCCTATGCATTTGTGAAAGTAATGAGAAGGTGCACAACAAAGTCCATTTAGCCCCAAGACCGTCTTGTTTGATGCAGCTGTGGGGCCAGGACACCATCAGGTGGACGGTGAATAAAACATTTTTTGGAGTTGATGTCCAAGACACTTCCCAAACCCTAATCGTATGAGAACTTGTGGTCAGTTCTGGCAAACTTCAAGCATCATTCATGAAAAATGGGCAGACATCACCTCACCTGACACACTGTGGAGTAGAGGTCGACCAGTATTGGGTTTTTCTATACCAGTGCTGATATGGGGTCATGGTCAGCTGATGGCCGACGTGTGCTGTGTGATTGAAAATAATCTTTTAGAGCATTTATTATGCCACGGTTATCCAGGAACATGAATTTACTTTTTCAATAAATTCTGCATTCGCATTGGGCTGCTCTTTTTACTGGTCTCAGCAAAACCTCCCTCTCACGCCTTCAAGCCATCCAAAATGCAGCAGCCAGACTCCTAACCAAATCCAGCAGACGAGCTCACATCACCCCAGTTTTACAGTCCCTCCACTGGCTCCCGGTAGAATATAGAATACAGTTTAAAGTTTTAGTCCTGACCTATAGAGCTCTCAACAACCAGGCTCCAAGCTACCTATCTGAGCTTTTATCCCCACACACCACCTCTCGGAACCTTAGATCCACATCTGAAAACCTCCTGGCTGATCCTCGAACCAGACTGAAAACCAAAGGGGACAGGGCCTTTCAGACTATTGCACCCAGACTTTGGAACAGTCTACCTTCAAATCTCCGTCTCTCTAACACTGTAGAGGTCTTTAAACATCATCTAAAAACTCACCTTTTCATCCAGACGTTCCCTCCCTAAATGTTTCAAAAAGATGGCTTTGTTCGGGTTCACACCTTCACTTTGTTTTTACTCCTGATTTTGTTTTCTACGTTTATCACTGCTATTGTTTTTCTGATGTTTTTATTGGTTAGAGGTATTTGCCCTGATCTTTATCATGTTGTACAGCGCTTTGTGATTTATATCTGTGGAAGGCGCTCTATAAATAAACTTTTACTTACTTACTTACTTACTTACTCGTGGATGTGCCTGACTTAAAATTGGCTTTACTAAGGAGGTATATTTGCCGATGCCGATATATAAAAAAAGCTAAATATCATTCTAATAGGTCGGCCGACCGATCTACCGATCTACTCCTACGGAGGAAACTCGTTTCAGCTGCTTGTCTCTGGGATCTAATTATTCTCATCCAAACCTGGTGATCCGAGGTGAAGGTGGGAGAGTTGGAGGCACTAGTGTCAGGAGTCTTGAGCTGCACCTTATTTAAAAAGCTGTTGGGAGAAACATTAAAACATGACCTGTTAAACACTTTTGCAGGTCTGAAATGAAGAAAAAAAATGTTTATTCAAAATAAAGTTAAACTGAAAAGACAAAACCTGAACTATGCTGCAACTTGCAAAGTAAAAAGAAAAATAAATTGCTGTTATGCAACTCAGTATTGCAACATGATTGTGTGCTCCAGCCAGGGAAAGGATTTCTAATTAAAAACAGAATAACACTACACAAAAACATAAAGCACAAATCAGTGTACACTGTAAAGTGGAAGCGGCTGTTTCTGTCTTCTGATACATTCAGTATCCTCAAGCATTACTGCTGAGATGATCTGAAATAGGCATCAGCGCTGTTTTAATGCGGATATTATTGAAATGCTCGTGAATAATGTTTCTATGCATCCTTGTACATTTATTCATCCACTGAAATTAAAAGTCCAGCCAGGAACTTTCCACATGCCACCCCAGTTCTGCTGGGTTCCCTCAGACTTTCCAGATGTTCTTTAGTGTTGAATCAGCAGCCTGTGGCGGTTCTGCTGAGATGCCTTTCATTCCTTTTTTTTTTCCATTCTCACAAAACAGTCAGAAGAACTCACTCAGCATTTTTATTCACAATCACTGGAGGATAAACAAGCCCAGCTTTCACCAAAGTTTTGTGTCTAAAGTTTTGGTTCTAAACGTGAACGGGATGCTTCAACTTCTGTAAACAAGCCTTCTTTTGTGTTTCTGACTCCATCCTGGAGTCGATGTAGTCCAACACAAAATCGCGTACATATACAATAATGCACAAATATTTGTTTTAACTTTGGGTAGAGTAAACCTGCCTTCTGGTACATGTCTAGTGGCATAACTGTGTCCTTCAGAGCTGAAACTGAGCCCCAGATGAAGAACTTGTGCTTCTTTAGTTATATTTTAACAGAGATGTTGTGAATATATCGGTTACCTTTAGCCATGACAGTGTTTTATGCATCCAGTTCCCTTTAGTCCTGAATGTGCACCGAAGTGCACATCGAGCTGCTCTATTTTGGACCATTTGTGAAGCGTTTATGTGAGTATCTGAAGCACAAGGCCAAATCTCTGAGCAGCTGTGACAATACAGATGTTTGTAGAACCTCCACCAGCATGTTGAGAGGTAGCAAATGAGCGCATCTTCTAACCATAGAAAGACCTCTACATGTCCGGTGCACCGTTTTACTAATAAGACTTGTCCATGATAACTTGTCTATTTAATAGGGATGTGTATTTTTGAAATTCTGGCGATACGATACATATCACGATACAGGGGAGATGATACAATATATCACGATATATTGCGATACATTCAGTTAGACGTTACAAGCAATTTTTTTTACTGAATTTATTGTAAGAATGTTCAATAAACAGTCCAAACTGATACGTAACATGTTTAACATGAGGTATCTGACCCATGATGGAGGGATTTACATTTCAATGGTGGAAACAAAACCCGTTGCACACTGCTGCCAACTAGCGGGTGGCGATTGAATTGCGCAAAACGAAAAGAAAATACACAAATGTTTGCATGTAAATTCTTTCAGGAATTATGTACACGGCTTTTGAATATCGATGTAATAATGACAGGAAAAAATATCACGATATATTGCCATATCGATATTTCCGATACACGGCTTTTGAATATCGATATGATATTGCTGGGGAAAATATCACGATATATTGCCATATCGATATTTTCTTACATCCCTACTATTTAAGTACCCAGAAGCCTGGTTTGTAGTACTTGCTCAACACATGTCTGTGGCAATCAACTTCAATTTGGGCTCATCCGACAACATGAACCTGGTACCAAAGACAACACTTTTTGTCTTGCCAGCATTAAGCACCAACTTGTTACTTTTTACCCCTTCATTCACCAACTTGAATTCCTCCAGTAAGACAAGTTCCTCAGCTGTCGCTTACATCGCAATCTGTGCCTTCTTTAAAGCCATTGGCAAATAGTTTGTACATATAGAAAACAGGAGTGGTCCCAGGCAAGAACAAGACTGGCTCATGTGACATGATGAACCTTCAGCAAACTTCTAAGAGCTTTATAATTCAGCTTGATAAGGAGATAAGTAAATCTGTTAGACAGGGTGAACAAATCAAAGGAAAAAAAACCTTTTACATAGTTTTCTTTAGAAGTCATAAACAGACACCCCCACTCCTAGCTTCCCTCAGCTCAAGGGCGCCCTCTTGTGATCTTATGTGTTGACTGATTTATTCTTGCCTTAGCTGAATGTGCTAAACAACAACATTGTTGTGTTAAAAATTTGACATCTAACAAATGTGTTGTCCACCTCTTCTGGCTTGAAACCTAATGCTGCTGCTGAGGCGGTGAGCAGAAGGGAAACTTTTATATAAGTCTAGTAACATGGTTGTCCCCATGCCAAATGCTCACGCAGCTCCAAGCCATGCTCAAATCACATCACATCACTTTTATTGTCACGTCACATGTGCAGGTACACTGGTACAGTACATGTGAGTGAGATTTTTGTGTGCGCGTTTCACAGCAACAGAGTTGTGCAAAATACAGTAACGTAAAAACAAGCAAAATATAAAAATGGCTAATCTAAGTAATAATATATATAGTATGTAAGGTATATACATTCCTAAATGTGTGTGCTAAGTATTTTATTTTTTATTTTTCTACGTGTGTGCATGTGAGTGTGTGTATAATGCGTACATACATATTTAACAAATGAATAAAGAAAACAATAAAATAAGAGATATGAAATGTACAGAGGTTGGTATGTGCAAAACAGTGGCATTCATGTACAGTATGGAGTGTGTAATGTTGCAGTTTCAGTAGTGAGGGTGAGGTGTCTGCGAAGTGTTCAGTAGTCTGATGGCCTGATGGAAAAAGCTGTCTCTCAGTCTGCTGGTTCTGGACCGGATGCTGCAGAACCTGCTCTGGGTCTCCTTGAAGTTATGTCTGCAGGCTTTGCCTGCTATTATATTGTAGCATCAGTTCATCTAAATTTGAAATATACTTTTATTGTAATTGCTGATTTTGTTTTGGGAGGAATTTGAATGATTGATTCACAGTGAATTAGAGCTTTTTTTCTGGAGATCAACATGAAGCGTGTTGTATGGGTTGTGTTTCAGGAGGGCGAGGGGAAGACGGCGCTCCCATCATTACCTTTCCAGAGTACTCAGGCTTCAGCGAAGTGCCAGAGGAAGATTTCCTCAACGTGGTTACTTACCTGACCAGTATCCCCAGGTACATGTGCATGCACCCTTCACAAATGATTTCTCTTTTCTAACCGATTCTCATCCTTTAGATGAGAAAGACGGTTACACTCAAATATGAGCATCACATACCAGGCGGAGACTTACAGTAGATGTTAGTTGAAGGAATACCGTTGAACAGACATTTTGCCAGTAGGAACATTCAATTTTTATAAAAGCAGTCAAGTGATGCTAATTCTAAGTGAGACATTTCCTAACTACACAGACTATGGATAAAAATCATCACACCATCAAAACCTCATTCCTGCATGCTCTAAATTTTACAGGAAGCAAAGATCTGTCAACCAGTTTGCAATGTGTTTAGATGCAAAATGTCTCCTTGAATACAATAATAAGTAGCTTAGTCCTCTTGTGTCCAGCTTGGATGCTGCCAGCATCGGCTTCATCATCATCATCGACCGACGGAAAGACAAGTGGAGCTCAGTAAAGGCCTCCCTGTCCAGGATTGCTGTAAGTGTTCTAAGGAGTTACATCAGAGCCCAGCACATTCAGCCCATTGCTGCAAGCGGTGGTCAAGTTTCCAGATGGTCATGTTTTTCCAGAGAGCATTCCCAGGGAATCTTCAGCTAGTGTTGGTGCTGCGGCCGTCCAGACTCCTCCAGAGGGCTATGGCCGACATCGGGTTGAAGCTGCACAAGGATGACTTTAAAATGAAGGTAGTACCCCCAGGGTCCATTTCCCTCTGAGTCATTAAATGGAAGAGAATGAAGCACAAATTTGTCTGTGTTAAAAAGTCTCTGAAAGATAAAAACACATTAGTAAATGCATTATCGTGGACCGGACACATGAGTGTTATGGTGGCAGGACACCACAGAAAAGCGCTACACCCTCTGTTGTCATGACGGGGAATTGTTTTGCAACACTCCACTGCCTGTGCAGAAATTTGCATGTGAAAACCTTTCCGATGCTCCATGTGCGTGTCTCTCTTGCGGAGCTCATGGAGAAGTATAAATCAGTCTTCAACCCACCTTCCCTGCTGGTGGTGGTCAAAGGAAGCGGTGGCGCTAGTGTTTGGCAGGCCTCACCTCCGTCAGTACGTCCCAGGCTAATGGGGGGTTTGTAGAACCCTAAGAAGGTGCTATACAAATACAAGCAATTTACCATAATTGAAACCAAACAAATTAGAACAAATTATGGTGACATTTTACAATAAGGGTCCCTTTATCAGCGTTATTTGCATTATTAAGCATTACCAAACAAAGGGTCCTTTTACTAACGCTCTCGATATTGGTAACTATTAAGTGTCCTATAGGACTACTGTAGGGAGACACCTATACCAATACCAGTATCGGTATCGGTAAAAGCTAACCGATACCAAGAACCGATACCAATGCAGTTGCCTAAAAGTGGCTTCACTGTAACTTGTCATTTCTGTTCACCAATTTTTTTTTGTTGCGATATTTCTGTTAATATATTTTATTTTTTTATCTACCTCACAGTCTTTTCCTGTTGAACGCAGAGAAAAAAATAAAACCTGTATTCCAATTCATTGCATTTTTTGTGTGTGGTAGAAGTATCGATATCGGTATTGATGAGTACTCAGATTCAAGTATCGGTATCGTATCGGTTTGGAGAAAAGTGGTATCGTTGCATCCCTAGATAGGACAAAGGGCCAGAGGAAGGTGTCTGGTTAGTAATGCATTACATAATGATTAAGCAGTTGCTAATACTTAATTAAATAGTTTATTAATGCTCAATAATATTAACACAGTAATGTTAATAAAGGGGCCCTTATTGTAAAGTGTTACCCCAAAAATGACTAGAATGGATAATAAGAACAGGATAAGTATGAGACCCTCAGAAATTTAGATGAGAAAATTTTACAATCCTCAAAAAAGATATCTACAAAAGCTCTAGATAATTCTGTTCACAGAAAGGGAGAGAGAAAAAAAACACTTTAGGATAAATAAATAGTACATACTTCTTTTTAAAACTACTATTAACAGGAGAGAACATACCAAAGCACAATAAAGAATCATTGATGACAAAGGTGATCTAGTTAAAAGCAGAAGGAAACAACAACATACCGTATGAATGCACAGAGCTAAAACACTGATGGATCAGGAAACCTCAAAAGTCGAAGATCCAGCTGGGAATAACGAAGGACTAAATTCTGATTAATGACTCAATAGGACTAAATGGAAACATCATGTTTGACATCACAACTTGGGCCAGTAAAGTGGTAACTGAGGACATCTAGTGTCCATCAAGAGAAAAAAACATGAATTAATATGTTAATCAATCAGAAGTTTTAAGAAGCTTACTTTCTTTTCCCCAGATTGTTATGCTGAACTCTCTGTCAGACCTCCACAGCTATGTGGATAAAAGCCAGCTGACCCGGGATTTCGGAGGAATTCTGGAGTACTCTCACAGCCAGTGGATTCATCATCGAACTGTGAGCAACTGAATACTGGAATATTAGAGAACAAAGTATTTTTCACCACATTATTGACTTACATCAGATTAATGTGGTTTGACAGATGCCTTTGACTGTTTATCCTCTACATGGAGTTCATTTAAAAAGTTTTAGCTCCTATCCATAGTTTGAAGTACATGTTTTTTTTTCCACAAAAATCTTGAAAAGTCAACGATTTTTGGGTTATAAAGGATATTAAAACATTTGGTGTTAGCATTAGCAACAGCAGCATGCAATCTTCATGAATACTTTTGTTGCTCTTTACATCTCTTCTGGTTTACGCACCAAAGTGTAAAGTGCTGTTAGAAAGCTTCCTGTATTGAGAACAGATTTCACCTCACAATTGCTGATTCTCTTTTCTTAGGCTATAGAAAATTTTGCCTTGACAGTGAAAAGTACGGCGCAGATGTTGCAGAGGTTTGGGGCTCAGCTGGCCGAGACTGAACTTCCCAATGATGTCCAGGGCACCAAAGACCTGCTCACGGTGCACACAGACAAACACAACAACCTCAAGGTAGTGCTTTCTACACACTAACACACAAATACTCTGTAGTGTCACGTTTGGATCATTTCACGTCCAAACATTTCAAAAAACACAAGAAGGGAAGTGTTACCTTGGTGGAAATGAGCTGGTGATTAAATATACAGTAGAAATTGTTGCAACAGGAATCCCCCACACACACTTCTTTAGCACGGAGTAACTGTATCAGACAAGGTTTCGATTCAAAGTGGATCACATTTTTGATGACACTGAGCATGCTCAGAACAAAATATTTACAAGCACCACGTGGAGAGAAGTCACAATCAAATCCATCTTCATCAAAAGTAGTCAGCTGAGTTTGTTCAGGCATCTGACTAGGTTTCCTCCTGATTCCCAAGGTTCTCATCACACTCGAAGGAAAACTGGGGAAGACCCAGAAGAACTGAATTGATTGTGTAATATCTGGCTTTGAAAAAATTATCCCCAGCACTCTCAGGGGTCTTTATGGATGGATGGGTGGGTGGACGGTTGGATGAATGGGTGGATGAGTGGGTGGACGGTTGGGTGAATGGATGGATGGATGGATGGATGAGTGGGTGGACGGTTGGGTGAATGGATGGATGGATGAGTGGGTGGACGGTTGGGTGAATGGATGGATGGATGGATGGATGGATATGGATGATGGATGGATGATGGATGGATGGATGGGTGGGTGGACGGTTGGGTGAATGGATGGATGGATATGGATGATGGATGGATGGATGGATGGATGGATGGATGGATGGGTGGGTGGGTGGGTGGACGGTTGGGTGAATGGATGGATATGGATGATGGATGGATATGGATGATGGATGGATGGATGGATGGATGGATGGATATGGATGGATGGATGGATGAGTGGGTGGACGGTTGGGTGAATGGATGGATAGATGGATGGATATGGATGGATGGATGGGTGGAGTGGGTGGACGGTTGGGTGAATGGATGGATGGATGGATGGATGGATGGATGGGTGGAGTGGGTGGACGGTTGGGTGAATGGATGGATGGATACGGATGGATGGATGGATGGATGAGTGGGTGGACGGTTGGGTGAATGGATGGATGGATGGATATGGATGGATGGATGGATGAGTGGGTGGACGGTTGGGTGAATGGATGGATAGATGGATGGATGTGGATGGATGGATATGGATGGATGGATGGGTGGAGTGGGTGGACGGTTGGGTGAATGGATGGATGGATGGGTGGAGTGGGTGGACGGTTGGGTGAATGGATGGATGGATGGATATGGATGTATGGATGGATGTATGGATGGATGAGTGGGTGGACGGTTGGGTGAATGGATGGATGGATGGATGGATATGGATGGATGGATGAGTGGGTGGATGGATGGATGGATGGATGGATGGATGGATATGGATGGATGGATGGAGTGGGTGGACGGTTGGGTGAATGGATGGATGGATGAGTGGGTGGGCAGTTGGGTGAATGGATGGATGGATGGATGGATGGATGGATGGATGGATGAGTGGGTGGACGGTTGGGTGAATGGATGGATGGATGGATGGATGAGTGGGTGGACGGTTGGGTGAATGGATGGATGGATGGATGGATTGATGGATGGATGGATATGGATGGATGGATGGATGGATGCATGGATGGAGGGATGGATGGATGGATGGATGGATGGATGGATGGATGCATGGATGGATGGATGGATGGATGGATGGATGGATGCATGGATGGAGGGATGGATGGATGGATGAGTGGCTGGGCAGTTGGGTTCACTAAAGAGAACTGAGATTTAATATTAAAAAAGATCTCAGGCAACCATCTATACACTTGAGCAAAGAAAGTTCCTCAAATTTTTAGCAAAACATTTTCAAAAATAAAACAAAAGAGTTACATCCCATCACATGTGCTTGGATGGTTTTACATTCTGATATAATTGAAATCTTGTTTTGCTTCGATGTCTCTGACACAGGATGAGCTGAAGCTCGCTTTAAGGCAAGGCAACACGTTGTTCACTTGTATCAAGGATCAAGCAGCAAAGTCAGAGAACCATGTACTCAGTCCAGATGAGATGGAGAACCAAACCACCGTGGAAAGGTCAGCAGCAGCTAGACCCACATCATATTCTAGCTCATGAGCTGTTGTTCTGTGCAAACAGTGAAGATGATGATGTGTGTTTTAGGCTCTTGGCCCAGCTGGATGAGACGGAGAATGCTTTTGAGCAGTTCTGGTGTAAACACCACCTGAAACTGGAGCAGTGCCTTCAGCTACGTCACTTTGAACAGGACTTCAGAGAGGTGACTTTGCATCTTTTCTACAACCTCTGAATCCTCAGATTTTGTCAGAGTCCCTTTAATGAAAATATCGTGTAGGTGCATTCAACCCTGGATCATTATCAGTGTTCCTGTCTGGGTTCTTCTTGCACTTTTTAAATGATCCATGTTTAAACAGACTCAACAGTTCTACCATCAAAAGTTCTCTGCATCCCTAGGCCTAGTCCACACGTAGCCGGGTTTTTAAAAAAACGAATATCCGCCCCTCCAAAAACTTGCATCCACACCACCTCGTTTAAAAAAAATTCTGTCCACACGTACCCGGATAAATACGTTGTTAAGGACATGCCAGACCTGTAGGCGGCAGTACTTCCCCCGTTCTTAACCTCGTCCTTCGTCTGTGGTCTTCCGCAAGGAGCAGTAATTCCGCTTGCAAAAACAAACAAGCAAAAAGCGCTTGGACAATTGATAAAGCGAGCGCAGCTCTGAGGGCATCCATGCTGTCGGCTAGTGTAAACACAGGTCGCACACATGATGTCAGCATTTTTTTGTCGCGGAAAGTGACGTTGCGGACCGTAAAACTCCGGTTTTGTTCGTCCACACGCAGACACCCAAAACGGAGAAAACGCAGATCTTCACTTTGGCCGGAGTTTTTAAAAAGATCCATTTTCGTGTGAAAAAACTCAGTTTTCGTGTGGATGACAGGCCAAAACGTAGAAAAATATCTACGTTTTGGCAGATCCCCGGCTACGTGTGGACAGGGCCTTAGATAAGGGCTCTCTTCACACCGCTTTTATCTCGACGGGCTACTTGTGCCTGTTAGATGCAACTACATATTTTTAGATTTTAAATTTATCAATATGAATGGATTCATGTTTAAACGGACGTAACATAATAATTTACAAAATGTAAAAGTTGAAAAGCTGCAGAAACATCGTACACCCCATTTGTATTGTTACAAGGAGCTAGATGTGACTAAATGTAGCTGGTAAATACTTTATGGATTACATTAACCCCTTCTCTCATACAGAATGAATAATATTACAGTGATCCCTCGCTACTTCGCGGTTCGTTTATCGCGGATTCACAACTTCGCGGATTTTTTCTTTGGAGCCTTATTTAAGGGAAATTCGCCGATTCGCGGTATTTTTCACCGATTCACGTTATTTTTCGATGCGAAATATCAAGAAATTCCTGTTTTTTTTCATCAATTTCATCATAAAATGCACTTTTCGTAATAAAACTATAAAAAAAACCAAGTAAAAGTTTTTTTTCTTGAGTTTTACCCACAAAAAGAGAATGTGATCATACTATAATTCAATATAGTACTGTACTGTAAATATGGTGTCCCTACTTCGCGGATTTTCACCTATCGCGGCCAGGTCTGGAACGCATCTACCACGATAAACGAGGGATCACTGTATACGTTTTAACTGTTTTTTTTTTATCCCTTTTCAGGTCAAAGTGTGTCTTGATTCTTTGTTGGATGGCCTGAACAGCCTATCAGATACCGGGGATTGTGTGGCCAGAGTGGAACACCTCCTTAAGGAACTTAAAGCACTGGAGAAGAAGGGTCAGGTGAGTCGAAACACACACACACACACACACACACACACACACACACACACACACACACACACACACACACACACACACACACACACACACACACACACACACACACACACACAGAGGGTTTTATGAGGTTTCCTATAACGGAGCTTTACTACTTTAACCTGGTTTGACTAAACTTCACTATAACTGGTACCATGACGCTGGTTCTAATTTTATCTAGTTATTTTTTTGTACTTTATGGATTGATTATACTTTTATAAAAACTTTTTTACATCTTTCTAACTTTTCTTTACATACACTATCATTTAGGCTGCAAATTCAGATTTAAAGCCTTTGCAAGTGATCTAATGTGGCCATCTGTACTAAAATCGTTAATGTTGAACAGCTCTGGAGCACGTTTTTTTTACAGCTTGCTAAGTCATCCTACGTAAATATATGTAAATATATAGGATGAGTTGCAGAGCAGAATCTTTTGCTACTTTTACAGTTTGTCAGACTTCAGCCAGTTTTTTATTTTCTTTTTACCAACTGTCCAAACCGTTATTGTTGTAGGTTTTTAAATTCAACGTAAATATTTAGTATTGTCCTAAAAATTTTAAATTGTCAGTAAGTTCTTAGATCAGGTGTATGCAACCTGCAACTGTGGAGCAAAACACAGCTCTTCAGCCCATCTGAGGTGCTCCTCGATCAAGAATGACTTGAACTGACTAATTTGTTTACATATTTGAGTTCAGGTAGTTCATCAGCAATAATTGTGGATTTGTACTTTGCCAAGTAATGTTTTATAAGTTTATAATAGAGGCAGGCCCAACCCTAAAATTGGATAAATAAAAAAATGAAAAATAAACATTTCTTTCAGCCAGCGGTAGAAAAGGCTCAGCTCCACGCATCACACGGTGACCAGCTGATACAGAGCAACCACTATGCTGTGGACTCGATCCGACCCAAATGTGTGGAGCTCCGGCGGGTCTGTGATGACTTCAGCAATGAGGCCAAGAAGAAGTTTGATGTCTTGTCCAAATCCCTGCAGATACACATGGGCATCGACAAGGTGAGAACATAACGTCTTCCGCACAGTAAAAGACACCGCTCTACATGTTTAGATGTTTTCAGTTCAAGTTAAAAATAATTGTATCTGACTCTGATTACCTTAAAGAAATCAGGAGAAACTATTGGAAGCTTTAAGCATGCTTTGGTGGCAGGATGTTGACAGGGGTGCCCCCAGAACATTTTCATGGGGGGGCTGGTGAACATTTTGGGGTGGCACAGCAAACTGGTCCTTGTGGTAACTCTGGGAGTGCTTAGCCTTTAGCTGTGAGTTGCTTATTTCTCTATTCTTTTTCATTAAAATAATAGGCCTATGCGTTAGGGGAGTGCCATCATAGGTCATGATTAGATTTGATTTTGATTCAGAGTTCTACTACTCAATTATTAAACCATTATCAGGATTACCAAGATTACCTATTTCTGATGCATTTTTTCCCCACTGCTTAGGAATTTTTTCCCTCACATCAAAGCATTTTCATACTTTCATATAAATGCAGCACACATAATTCAGGTTACTCCACTATCCTATTCATGAAAGACTGAACACAAACCCAACATACATTTGCATGAAATTTACAGGAAAAACACAAATGAAAGTAAAGACGGGCAGTCAGTTTTGCGTATGGAGCAGCTCGTGAGAAAGCGTAGTGTGGCTTCAATCGGCATAAAAAGCAAGTTATGTTCTAGCTAAAGAAGGGAAGTCTGTGACAGCACAGAAACAGCCCCTACACCTAATTTATACCACTTTGTGAAGACACATGATTGCGCCACATACTGACCAAGGCTTCATAATGTTGCTTCACTTTGCAACAAAGTAGCACCATAGTTTTATGAAACATGTTGGTAATGTTGCTGTTGTACTTTAGTTTAGTTTTACACAACTTTCCTTCAATCCTGAAGAGTAAACCGCACACTCCGTGGCTAAAGTTGAGAAACAACTTTCCGCCATTGCTGTTTTGCAACTCAAATGTACCTGCAACTCGATCAGCACCGCTTCCCTGTCAGAATGCATGTCTGTGGTCACAATATGGCTCTTCTCTAACTGCCTGTGGTTCAATGACAGCAACCTGGAGGCCATCCTTTATAACCCTATTAACAAAAATTGTGCTTCAGGTGTCCCCGCTCTCCCCTCACTCATTGTCAAATCAAGTGTCACCAGCCTGGGTGTGAAACTTGACTCTGACCTCTCAATGACCTCGGAGCTCTCAGGTGTTGTTTTTTTTCCCAACTTTGCCGCATCACACGGCTTAAAGCCATCCTCAAACACACGCATTATAAGTGTGTCATTCACGCGTTCATTACCTCCATCTGGATTAGGTCAACTCTTGTGATGATTGGGGTTAATGCAGCCGCCTTAGTCCAGGGTATCCACGGGTCCTTAAAAAGTCTTAAATTTGCTTTTCCAAATTTAAGGTCCTAAAAATCCTTAAAACTGACAAATAATCCTTAAATACAGTTTCCAAAGGTCTTAAATTACCAAAGACCCAATAAACAAGATTATTTTATTTTTGTCAAATTTTCGTGAATTTCTAGTTGGTGTTCAGCATTTTTTGTGTGTATGATGTTGGCGTAAGCGGAACCGTACACGTTCAGTTGGTTGTGAAAGGGGGCTATTTTTAGATGAGCACATTAGCTGGTTAAGCTAGTGGGAGCTTGCACCATGGGGAAGCGCAAGTTTAATGGTAACTGGATGGCTAATCCCACGTTCGCAACTTGGTTAGCACCGGTTCCAGGCAATAGCTGGAAATTACAGCTTAAATTTAATTTTAAAAATAGCTTAAATTTGGTCAAAGTGGCCTTAAAAAAGGTCTTAAAAAGTCTTAAATTTGGCTCCCTTACACCTGCAGATATCCTGTAGTCAGACTGCAGACAGTTCAAAAAGCCGTGGCTAGATTCTTAACCAATTCCGACAGACGCATGCACATCACACCCTTTCTCACTTATTCACACAGGCTCCCAGTTAGATTTAGAATTCATTTCAAAGTCTTGCTCTTTGCATACATGGTTTTGAATGGTCCATCCCCTTCTTATCTCACTGAGTTGTTGACTTCATACCCACACATCCCCTTTGATTGGCCAACCACCTACTGCCTATTGTTCCAAAGGTTGGCTATAAATTACGGGGAAGCTTGCCTTCTCTCATGCAGTACCAAAACTGGGGTACTCCACCCTCCATGTATGTTTGGCACCTGCCCTCAGTAGGTTCACGTCTGCTCTTAAGACACACTTTTTCAGCATCGCCCTCCCTTCATTATCCACTACAAAAAACATTGCACAACTTTGGCTCTTTTATGTACAGCACTTTGGTTAGCTGCCATGTTCTTCTTGAACTGTGCTTAGTAAATAAATCGATTGTATGGTTTTGTTTTTCACGATGGTCCGTCCCCTAAGACACGTAAATGTTCCTGCCACGCTTTGCAGCCTTCTTTCAGCATTTAATCATAATTGTTTATGGCTGTTTACAAATCAGTTTTGAATCGACATGTGTCACATTGCGAACCATCAATTAAATGGTGAATCGGCACACCCCCATTATGCATTCAACAAATTTCCAGGGATGTTCCCCCCCTGGCCACCCCTTGGGAGTGTCACTGGTTGTTGGGCCTTTTGTTCTGGTTCATGGCAGATTGTTGGCCTAAATACTGAATGAAAGTAAAACAAAATTTATGTTGTTTGGAGGTATTAAGAGTAATATTGAAGTAAAATTGAATCTAAATAATGTTGAAATTGAAAAAGTATATGAGACTAAATTTTTAGGAGTAATAATTGATGATAAACTTTGTTGGAAGTCTCACATAGATCGTGTGAAACTGAAATTCTCTAAGTTTATTTCTATTCTTTATAAAACAAGAGATTTATTGCACAAGAGCTGCCTTTATTTACTGCACACTTCCCTTTGCTTGCCTTATATGAGTTGTTGTGTGGAAATTTGGGGGAAAACATACAAAACATATCCGGATTCAATTTTTAAATTGCAAAAAAGAGCTATTAGAATAATAAATAAAGCTGGATATAGGGAGTCCACAAACCAATTTTTTTGTAGGATCAGATATGTTAAAATTTAAGGACATTATATATCTTAAAACTTTAGAGATGATGAGTGGTGAAAAAGAATGTTCCAATTTGTATTTTGAGTATGTTTAAAAGAAGAGATGGAAAATATGATTTGAGGGGGTCTTACATGTTTGAAATACCTAAAGTGAGAACTAATGCTAAGTATAGATGTGTGTCGGTTTTGGGAGTGAAGTTATGGAACGGACTTAATGATGAACTGAAGATGTGTTATTTGTCATTTTTCAAGAAAATTTAAAAAATTTGCATCTTCCAAAGTTACAGAAACTTAGTTTGATGTCTAACCTTGTGTTGATTTGATTTATTGATTTATCATTGCTTTTTCTTTAATGTTATGCATCTTATCTATCAGCCCAACTTTTTTCTCTTGGTTAAGGATTTGATTATCTCTGTGGGAGTTAAGGATAGACTAATTATTAGCCACTAGGCTTCAACCTATTCCTTTTTTCGGTTGCTTGATTACTTTTATGTAAAATGGATAAATTGTTGTTGTTGACCGAATAAAAATATCCATCCATCCATCCATCCATCCATCCATCCATCTAAAGATATCCTGAATTTCCCCCTGGACCTGCAACTTCTCTGACATCACCTTGGATAAGAAGAAGAAAGCGATTTAATGGAATACCATCCTGTTATCCTTACTTTGTGTGTACAGGTCAACCAGTGGTGTGAGTCTGGAATCTACCTCCTGGCCTCTCAGGCTGTGGATAAGTGTCAGTCCCAAGAAGGAGCAGAATCAGCTTTAACCGACATTGAACACTTTCTGGACTCAGCAGAAAAAAACCAGCTAACAGAACTGAGGAACCTTCACAACCAGTTTGAGGTCGTCTTATCCGAAGATATTAAGGTACACTAAACAAGGAATTGTTGTTAAATGATGCTCGGGAAAAGATTAGGTGAGTTAAAGATTTCTACCTGCAGGGCGGAGTCCTGAAGGCTCTGAAGAGACTGGAGGATGTTCAGGAGATGTTTGAGAAGCGAAGCGTTAGTTTGAAAAGGCTGTCAGCGAAACAGACAAGGCCCATTCAGCCAGTCGCCCCACGGCCTGAATCGTCTCCTAAACGGCCCTCACAGAAGACCCCCCCCAGGACCACCGGAAGCCATCAGCGTGAGTCCAAAGTTTGACATCAAAACAACGTGCATCATGTTAGATCTGTTGGAGTCATGCAGCAGCAATCCAATGGCTACTAAAGTTAAATGCAATAATAAGATAATTATTTTAAATATAAATGTAAAATATTATAAGAATATACTGTAAAATGTGTGCATCCTAATAAAGCTTGTTGAAAGACTCGATTTAAAGGCACTAGAATCTAGTTCAGTGGCTTCTAAGATTTTTTCCACAAGGACCCCTTGCTTCTGTCAAAAACAAGCCCCCCCAACTCCTACCCACATACACATATTAACAGACATTATGTTAAAAATGTTATAAAGACACACAGTTTTAACTATTCATAAAATTTTGATTATACCATTGGATGTGTTATCGATATTTTATGAAAATACTTTTTACAAACATAATCTACAATCTCAGCACAGACAGAAGTATCAGGACCTCCTTGGGAGGTCGCAGGCCCCGGATTGGGAAGCACTACTTAAGATTATGGTTCAGGAAAACAGTTAAAAACAATGTGCATGCTAATCTTTTACACCAAAACGAGTTAGTTGTATTTCACATTGTTTATTTTCACCCTGCCTAAGACTGATCACTAATCATAGGTTAGGCAATAAAACATGTCTACAAGCTCAACCCCAAGCCATTTTTCAGGGAGTTTCTTGAAAAAGACGTACCCAAAGTGAATTGAGCATCTCATAAACTACAAGGTTCATTTGAGCTGTTTTGGTATCAAAATAAAGGTAAGACTCTAAAGTTTACTCTAAAATTCTAAAAAGCATCACTTATGTCATTGATTGAGGGTAACGTGATCTGGAACACAGCAGAAATGAGAATAAAAATGTGTTCTGCCTAAAAAAAAATCCACTTCTTCCAATTCCAAAATCCAATTTTTTAATTTCTGATCTGTAAACTTGTGTCACCTTGGGAAATTAATCTCAGAGAATGCTCTCTATCTTGCATTACATACGGAATAAATGATTACTTATTGACTCTTTTCTTTGCACCTCAGCTCTGACTCGAAGACCTTCTGATAACTTGAACAGTGCTAAGCAGCAAGCTGAAGCTGATCCCAACAAAAAGAAGAACATTCGGAGAACAAAAGAAGCAATCACGGTACTTTGATATTTGGAATCTTTACATATTGAAATTAAGTGGAGAAAATTAAATGTTTATTTTCTTTACATCCCTAATCCTGAAGTAAGTCATAAAGGCATTGAAAATCAAAAACTATTGTAACTGTATGAAAACATAAACACGTACATGTAGCTGCAGCAATCCCAGAGAACTTTGGCAGGTTACTGTTGATCATAGAAACCTTAATAGCTCACTCGATGCAGTAAAACATAAAAAAGCTCTGAAAAGAAAATAAAAGTAACTGGGATGTGTGTGTTCTCAATTTATATTGCAGGCCAAGCCATGTGTCTACATCATGAGGTTGCTGTAAAAGACATTTTACAGCAGGTCTAGATAAATATTGACCAGCAGTTGATGAAAATCAGAAAGCAAACACCTGAAAAGAGATCACATTTTCAGACGTTCATTTTTGGCAAAAAGCCTTTCTTTATTCCCATGGCAGTGCCCTAAAAAGTCATTTTTCTAAATGTCAGATTTCGATGGAATGCTAAAATGCTAACAAACAGGTTTGTGTGTGTTCAGATTGAAGTAATGCATGGAGAGAGCCAAGGAGGATCTACCCTTGTTCCTGTGTCAAATGAGAGTGAGGAGAGTCTTTCCAACCGACGCAGGTGACCACTTTCTCCATCTTTACCTTTGGTACCAAGCTTGTTCGCTTGACAGAATATCTTCCAGGGAGTTAAAGTGAAAACTAAGTTCACTTAAGGAGAGAACAAAAAAAAAAAAAAAAATCAATCAATAAATAAACTGATAATGTAGTTATCAGACTAATGGATCCCACTGAGCTTTGGATTTGGGGATAAACTGTCAAAATGTCTTGAAGTATTCCAGTGACTGTCAGGGCTTTGGTCTTGGGTCACTTCATATTTATTGCAAAAGGAAAATCTGCAAAGCAATTAGGCAGGGCAAGCTCTTGTTTCCTCACGGACACAATAGAGAGAAACGAAGATCTTTCCAAACAATATCAGGTACAATTGATGATTAGTAATAACCTGACAGTTATGCAAGAGACCATGTGCACTACATTTGTTGCCACCTATTGAATGACTCGGAAATCGATGGGGAATTTAATTGACAGAATCAACAATGGTATTGACATAGGTAAAAATGTATCAATTCCCAACTCTGGTCCTGCAGTGGAAAAACAACTATTTCCTGGGAAAATATGTTTTTGTATTCCCAAAAGAAACTCTAAATAAAAGCTAAACCATTGACTGATAAATGGAGAGTTCTGATTTTGATGAAATGGGCCGAGATAAAAATAAAATAACTTTATTAAACAAATAGCAAACATTTTTACTGAACGAATGGACTTATTTACATAAGGACTAACAAAATGTACTGAAAAATTCCACATTTATACAAACAGAAAAGGCTGATAATTATGATAATTGTGTAAACACATAAAAAAAATCACTTAATAGAAGCTATTTTTGGCACAGTCTGATGTTTGTTATGTAAAACTACATTAAACTAAGACAATATGGTGATTTATTAACAAATTACAGTTATAAAGAAAGCATTTAGGCAATAAAAAACAAGAATTTATTAATAAAACTGCTAAACTCTTTCCCAAAACCTATGTGTGGAAAAAATATGGAAAAAGATCTGCAATGCATTTCAGCGGAGTGGATTTTCCACAGTGTGATGTCATCTGCAGGTGCAGGACCCCGAGCCGATCTGGCAGCCTGAGCAGATCTGGTACCTACACCGCCAGTAAAGTGTTATGTTTTGGACACATCCTACAAGCAAAGGGATGATTTAATTACGCTTTGAGTGTATTTGTTAAATGCTATGCTTCCAAACACGTCAAACCCTGTAGTTAATATTTGGCCAGGCAGGAAGTTAAACACAAAATCAGTTTTAAACAGCTGGAAACTTTCAAAATAAAAGTAACGCACAGTAACGTCCTTTCTTGAGAACCCCCCCCCCCCCCCCCCCCGTAGCCAATGTAAACAGAACAGAAAATAAATCATAGCCCTTTTTGGGGACATGCGGCTGTCCTTCACATAGCTTTCTCCTTCTGAAATCATGCGTGGTGTCGCAGTTGTTGCAGAGAGCGACTTACAAGGCGTTCACCTTTTTTAGAGAAAACTGCAAATGTATTAAAAATATAAAGCTGACCTTTAAACAGTTATGTAAATTGCAAGTCAAATTGTGAAATAAGAGTTCCGCCAATGTACGAGACCGGGGTGGGGGTGGGGGGTTACTGGAAGGCAAGGTAAACAGTTCTCTATAAGGACTTGGCTACCATCATTCACTTTAAAAACCTGTTCAACATATTTGAGTAGTTTGTGAATGTCACATCACTACAGCAGGTCCCAATACAAAGAGCTGTCTTCACATTTGCTGTTTTAACATCAGAAGTTGTGGATCCTGGTTGTGTTACTTCCATTTCCTGCTGTGGTTAACAAATACTGATCAAAGATTGATAGAGGGTTCACAAGCAACAACTGTTGTTTAAGGCCTAGTCCACACGTAGCCGGGTTTATTTAAAAACGAATATCCGCCCCTCCAAAAACTTGCATCCACACCACCTCGTTTTAAAAAAAACTGTCCACACGTACCCGGATAAATACGTTGTTTAGGACATGCCAGACCTGTAGGTGGCAGTACTTCCCCCGTTCTTAACCTCGTCCTTCGTCTGTGGTCTTCCGCAAGGAGCAGTAATTCCGCTTGCAAAAACAAACAAGCAAAAAGCGCTTGGACCATTGAAAAAGCGAGCGCAGCTCTGAGGGCATCCATGCTGTCGGCTAGTGTAAACACAGGTCGCACACGTGATGTCAGCATTTTTTTGTCACGGAAAGTGACGTTGCGGACCTTAAAACTCCGGTTTTGTCTGTCCACACGCAGACACCCAAAACGGAGAAAACGCAGATCTTCACTTTGGCCGGAGTTTTTAAAAAGATCCGTTTTCGCGTGAAAAAACTCCGTTTTCGTGTGGATGACAGGCCAAAACGTAGAAAAATATCTACGTTTCGGCAGATCCCCGGCTACGTGTGGACAGGGCCTAAGACTGAAAAGCTATAACCTTGTGAACCAAAAAAAATGTGTGTGTGTGTGTATTGTGCTTCACAGCTTATGAAGAGCTCACATTCAAAATCTCAATTAGAATATTGTGAAACGGTTCAAGGTTCTAGACTCAAGTGTCACACTCTAATCAGCTAATGAATCCAAAACACCTGCAAAGGGTTCCTGAGCCTTTAGATGGTCTCTCAGTCTAAGCTGGATTACTGAAATGAATGGACTTTTGCATCATATTCTATAACACACCCAAACAGTTCAGAAACCACCAGTCAGGAGCCAGTAGTACACCTGTGACTGGAACCTGTGAAGCTTAAACAACTGAACACAAGCAGAATATTGCATAAGATTTTGGCACACTTTTACCCACACGCACTTATTTTTGCTCATTCCACAAATGTATGAGCCTCAAAGTAAAGGTAACTAATTAGACATTGTAACAATATGAGATTTATCATCAATAAGTGTTAAAACAAAAACAATTTCCATTTCTGAGGTAATGTTGCATCAATTCCTAAACTGCCAGCTTCACTTTCCTGAAAACTTCCTCTTCAGCATGGTTGACTCTTAAAAATGCCCACTCTAAGATGGTGAGCAACTGTCCAATATTTAAAATGATGAATTATCTAACAGCTGGATTAGCCTTTCAATAAGAAGAGATGTTGAACTCAGTTGGATGAACTAAACCCAACACAAGTTTGGTGTGTGAGAAAAGGAAGAGGCCCTGGGGACATGCTTCTAACACAAATCTTCTATAAATACAGCCTGAGACACAAAGAAAACATTGAAAACATAGTGCTGATGACTTGAAACCACACATTCAATTTATTTACTCAACTTTTTTTTTACACAAGGCCATAAAAACAACACAGCCAGAAAAGCTGATAAAAGAGGCCCGTTTCTTAGTGGTGAGCAATGTTAAATGCTTACAAGTCAGCCAGAGATCACTTAGGCAAAAGCTGCAAGACAGGAGTACGTATTTTGGTAATAAGGCTGACACAGGAGCATCACTCTCACTGCTATACAGTACAAATGACCCAAAAACCCTCTGGAACCTCTGGATGATGTGGAGAACACTGCTTCTCTCCACAGTGATCGCACGTCTGTAGCATGGCCATGTGATGTAATCATGTGTTCGTAAATGCAGGGGTGGTATGGAGCCTTACCCTCCCCCGAAAAGTACACATGCTCCTGGGGAGAGACACCCATGGTCTTGGCACACATCCCCATGAAGACATCGTCAATGTACATGGAAGAGTTCAGTACCAGAGTGGCCTGGTAGATCTTTGCTGCCACGTCCCCCGAGACAACATACGCAGCTCCAGCAGTGTAGTCTGGGTACGAAGGCCAGGGGTAAAGATCATGGGGAACATGGTATTTACTGGTTTTACGGCGAACTGGAGGGGCTCCCTTGTGCACATGGCCCATCCACAGGTCTTTGGCCCCTGACTGGCTTCTCAAAAGTTGCTGCAAGTATTTTACCAAATTAGGTATATGTACAAAAATGTCATCGTCTGCTGTCATGAGAAAGCGGGCCTGAGGACAGTACAGTTGTTTCCAATGGAACTGCATGATCAGTTTAGTCGTAAGGTTGTGAAAAGTGTCCAAAAAATTCTGCTGGATCAGGTCTTTGTAGACCTGGTCTTCACGTTGCAGAGAATCTTGCACCCATGACCTTTGATCAACATCTGGTTGGATGCCCACAGCAAACAAGAGCTTCACACTCACGCCTAACTTTGACCAGATAAAGCTCTCATTGCCCCACGTGTCTCGGATGTCCTGGCGCCGCTCCATGTTCACTGGAGAAGATTTCACAAATAGAAGCAGAAGGACATTGCCCCCGTCTTTCCCATTTTTACCTGTGCACTTTCCTGGGTGGTTGAGGAGGTACGGGTAGTTCTCTAAATTGCCACCTGAACTTCTAGAACCATCTTTCGAGTGATGATGGTTGGAGGAAATTACCATGGTCAAGTTAGGAAAGTCATATCTGTTGACTAGGTAGCGGTAAGCATACGATCTCAGGTGGCTTACCACATGATGGTCTAGCTCATCCCAGGAGGCCATCATCACACAGAATAGCAGGCCTGTGGCCAGCAACTGCACACACCGACACTTGCGAATGCGCCGAAAGTTCACAAACATTGTGACAGCAGCTTCTTCCCACTGATTCCTGATCATCAGCAAAGGTATCGTCTTGGACCTGTGCCCTCTAGTCCCAGGCTTGGCCTCTGCTCGTTTTCCGCCCTTTTCTGTCGATTCTCTTCTACTCTCATGTACACTAGGTCCTTGTCAGGATCTCCATCAGTCTGCTTGCTGCATTATTGATTATCTTCTGTTATTTCAAGGAAAGGCTATTTTCCAATATGGTCAAGTAGTCAAACAGATCTTATTAATTTCATCATCCCTCCTTTAGCAATCAAGTCAACATCCTGTTTCCTCAATGTCTCCTTTGAAGTTTGGTTTAGTTTTGACTGCTCCAAGTCTTTTTCCTTCATCCACTCAGGTTATTGACAAACCTGTGCATGTTGAGAACTATGGCACCTGAAAAGACAAACAAAACCCAGAAATATTTACATTTTATACTTAGAAGGTACATTTACACTGACAAATATCATGAATTTTAAACTGCTCTCAGCAAAACCACTTTCTCTCTAGCAGAAATAGTGACGTTATGCATTTTTTCTTGAACCGAATTTCATCACCAGCCATCAAATTTGAATTCATATTTCAAAATCAGCAAATGTACCTAAAGTGACTCAATTAAAAATTAATCACTCAAGAAAACAAATGTTGGACCTCTTGAGGAAATTAAATTTTTATTTTAGGCTCATAAAATTTGCCTTCAAAGATTAGACAGTAAGTTCACTTCCTGATTTTTAGATTTCATGTAAACCACGTCCATTCCCAATGGCCTTCACAGCTGTCTGAATTCATTGATTCTTTTTGTTGTTTTAGTTTACATTCCTGATACTTTGCTTTTCTTCTTTTGTTGCATGCATATATAATATGCAACAATAATTGTTGTTTCTAAATGTTTAGCATAGCATAGCATAGTTTATTTATATAGCACATTTAAAATGCAGCATGGGAGCTGCCCAAAAGTGCTGCACAGGATAAAACAAAACACACCCATTACAAGGAGCTAAAACAAAGGATAAAAATCTCAATTAAAAGCAGAGAAAACATGAATACTAAGAACACATTAAAACAATGACACAATAAAACACTAAAACGAGTCACTGTCTAAAAGCCAAAGTGTAAAAGTGGGTCTTTAAACGAGATTTAAAAACCGCCAGAGATGGAGCCTGCCGAACTCCAATGGGCAATGAGTTCCATAGCTTTGGGGCAGCATGCACAAATGCTCTATCACCCCGCGATTTGAGTCTCATCCGCGGCGTGTGCAGCAGCAAAAGGTCAGCCGACCTCAACGTGCGGGTGGGCACATATGGAGTGAGAAGGGCAGAGAGGTAGGGAGGTGCCAGATCATTGAGTTTATTAATAGAGACTTTTTGATCACTTTTTTTTTTGCTCCCAATCAGATTCATCTGATTTTCAGGCTCTGCCCATGCCGAGCCCCGTCCTGATTCTTTTCAGATGTTACGATTGGTGATGGTATTGGTGAAGGATGTTGTAACATAAAAGGCGTGGGGTCAGGATTTAAAAAAGCAAATGTTTATAACAAATAAATGACCAAACACATTTAAGGTTAGTAGGTCAATTATGTAACAGCACTAAAGGCAACCACCAAAAGAGGGAAAAGACAATGACTTGAGGAAACACAAAAGCTGGAGCTCAGCTCCACTATTGATCAACTAACTAAAATGATAAACCAACATGTCAGAGTGGACTCTCAAACTCTAATGTTTCCCTTTTGGCTAAAGTAGAATGTAAACAAATGCAGTCCAACCCAAACTGAGAGCGAGCACAGGACTGTTAAGTTAATGGTAACAAAGAACGGTAATACTTACTAAATCAAAACTCCTTTGAGCATACAACCCAAAACACAATACTTAAGCTCCAGTGAGCAAACACAAGAAGTAGGTTGAATTAAACCAGATTCCTACCACTGCTGAGCACAATCCCAAAAGTTCCACAGAACTCAAACCAAAACTGAGTGCAATTATTTGAACTATGCTAGGATCAAACTCGGTGTGTCTGGGTTTCAATTACTCTCACTGTATCAGCACTCTCATTGTACTCTCCACTATTTCTGCCATCTGGTTATTCTGGCCATGTCTTATTTTTTATTTTTTAAACTCAGGAGCTGATTAGGGATGGAGCGCAGCTGGAAAGGCAGGGGGGAGGAGGGGCTGCTCTTCTCTGCAGGGAGGTGGAGCAGGAATAGGAGCAGGTAGAAACTGGTGACCAGAACATCAGAAAAGCATTAAAATAATAAGAAAAAAGAAAAATAATTTTTAGCAAAGCATTAAAATAAGAAATAAAAGGGGGGAATCGGGAAAGCATTAAAATAAGAAGAAAACACATCCAAGTTGTCTTTTAAGTTTCACTTTCATTGTTTTAGGAAATACACAGATTAAAAATACTTGTTTATATTGTGAATATACTTAAACATAGCAGCATTGCTCTTATTTCAAGTTGTTTATTCCCTTAATATGCCACTGCGTGCTCACGTAACGGAGCAAGCAGACGGAGCCTTCGGCAGGCAGGGTAACTTGGGTAACACCTGCAGCTCCAGCGCAGCACCGGCGCTGCAGGAGAACTAGAAACCCGGATGTTCTGCAGTCTGTTGGCAATTTCTCTTTGTTATTAGCGTGACTTTCTCTGTCGGCTGGCTCCATGTTTTTGTGTAACTTCACTGTGAACTGACTGTTCGAGGTGAACTGGGATAAATGGAAACTGGTCATTTGCTTTGTTGATGCCCAAATGGAAATGCCGACAGTGAAAGTAGCTTGTTTGAAGGCAGCAAATCATGGAGCCGTGTCCTTTTCAGCATGTTGAATGCTCAGTTTGCCCACATTACAAGTGTCTGTAGCTCTGCCTTTGCTGTCTGGTTTAAAATACCAAGCTGCGGATATTTTAGGTCGTATGAGCAGATGCGTTAGCTCTGTGTTAGCAGGCTTGCTAACAGCTGCACTTGGTTTCTGAGTCCTTGCCTGCCGTAAATTGTGTGATGTTACTGTGTTGTTCTACAAGAAACAAATATTATTGACATAGAGGAACTTATTGAAATTAAAACTAAGACATTTTTATTCAGTTAGAAAATTTATCTCTGGAAGAATTTAAAAAGTCATGTTTGTTGTTCTAAAATCCTTTCAAAAACATGATTGGGCCCAATTTCCGATCACACAGTCCAAACAGAGCATCCCTATTCATTCATTTTTATAAATGTGATCTATAATTAAATCTGGTTTTGATTCTCAAAAAGGTTTCTTTAGTATTCAAAAAGTAGAATGGCTTTATGCTAACTTGTCTGATCATCACATTATTACTGTCTGCTACCAAACTGCTTATATAAAATTTTGATAAACACTTGACTTAATTATTAGCTCCCTGATGGAAACAACTTGCCACTACCTGGTGTTTAAACAATTAGGACTAGGGGTAGACCGATATATGGTGGGGCAAAAAAGTATTTAATTAGCCTCCTATAATAGGAGGCTGATTAAATGCATAGGAGTCCTATTGTACCAGTTCTCCCACTTAAAAGATGCGATAGGCCTGTAATTTTCATCTTAGTTATACCTCAACTATGAGAGACAAAATGAGGAAAAAAATCCCAAAGAATCACATTGTTTCATTTTTAAAGCATTTCTTTGCAAATTATGGTAGAAAATTAGTATTTGGTCTCCTACGAGCAAGCGAAATGTCTGGCTCTCGCAGACCTGTAACTTCTGTAAGAGGCTCCTTTGTCCTCCACTAATTACCTGTATTAATGACACCTGTTGGAACTTGTCATCAGTATAAAATACACCTGACCATAACCTCAAACAGTCACACTCCAAACCCCACATGGCCAAGACCAAAGAGCTGTCAAAGGACACCAGAAACAAAATTGTAGCCATGCACCAGGCTGGGAAAAACTGAATCTGCAATAGGAAAGCAGCTTGGTGGGAAGACACCAGCTGTAGGAGAAATTATTAAAAAGTGGGGGACCTAAATGACATGCAGACAGCTGAGAGCACAGTTACAAAGGCTACCATCAGTAACACACTATGCCACCAGGGACTCAAATCCTGCAGTGGAAGACGTGTCCCCCTGCTTACAGGAATACCTGCAACGTTTTCATATTTCATATCATACTAAAACATGCTGGATACTGGGGGTGTTTCTCAATGCCAAGGTGCCTGGCCTCACAAGGTGATGTCTTGCAAGGCCAGGCACCTTACTTACGAGGACACAGTCAAGGGATGTCCCGATACAACTTTTTTCACTTCTGTCACGATAACGATATTGCAGCCTTCAGTACTGACCGATACCTATATCAATCCAATATATCAGCACAAATCATACATACTTTTACCTAGTTTGTAGTGTGGAATGTATAAAAGGCTTAATCAAGTCATATTACTCAAACAGAAATCAAAAGCCATCAACAGTCAGCATTAAAAACTGACCAATTTTTATTAACCTTTGGTTGCATAAATGTGAGCAGCTGAGGTTAGGGGCATAACGTGACGGGGGGGGGGGGGGGGGGGGGGGCAATATTGTTCACTGACCAACAAGTCGAGTGTCTAAACTAGGGTTACTCAAATGTAATGGTCCGTGGGCCACTCACCAAAACAACCTTCAAGCGCAAGGTTTGGTCCAGGGGGGGGGTGCTGCTGGACAGCTGACATTGTTCCTTGTGTAGCGTTGTGGTTTTAGCACACAATGTTCTGATCATGTGGATCATGTGGATTTTGGATGCTGGATCTGGGCACTCATGGATAGAGTTTCTGGAATGGACTTTAAAGCGTAACATACTGCTAATATTGAATATTTTTGCTGCAGTCCGACATAATTCGATAGTGTTTTTGGACCGATGTCAATATTGGAACGGGACATCCCTAACACTGTCCTTCCCTGGTTAAAGAAAACGGTTGAATGGAACAGACCAACATCCCGTGACCACGGCTTCTGCGGCAGGCACGTCACATCATGCGTGAGGTAACGTTATATTTATACGAATAAGTTTCAATGTAAATGTATAACAAGCCTTTTACTTTTTAAATTGTGTATAAATTGGTTAAATTAATTAAGTAAGCGAGTTAATACCTGCTAGCCAACAAAGTTGAAACTATTAAGCAACTAACGAACCAGTTAACTGCTTTGGATATAAAAACAAAAACATTTTAGATATCAGCCCGACAACTACATTTAGCTGACTTACATCTAAACAGAAAATTTGCCCCATAGTAGCTGCCGGCTCCTGATCCACCATCTTTTTGAAAATACAGCAGTGTGTTCTGGGAAATTTCTGACCAAGGCCAGGCTACAAGACACCTATCGTGTATCCTTGCTCAGCTAGCTAAATGGCTAACAAAACGGAGAACACACGTCTCGGTAGAGCACGAACATTGGAACACACCTTGTTGGTTCCTGATGATGTATCTCCTAGGCAACCGGGGAGGGACCAAGACATCAAGGCAAGGTTCCTTTGCATTGAGAAACACCCTGGCTCTCCAGGCCCGGAATTCAATAGCCCTACTTTACAGGGTTAGTGAAAGGCCACCTAGCCCCTATCACCCCCCTGTGGCCAGAATATCCCACTTGCAACTTCAGCCTAGTGGGCCGCTCTGTTAGAACTAAAAACAAATTGAGCTGGCATACCTGGCGCTGCAGTCTGGTTTCAGCATGTTGGTCTGCATGTTTGAGATCACGAACACAGCTGATTTGTTTAATTTTGTGGTGAATCACACTTGTAGATACTAAGAAATGCTGGGAGACGTTTTAGCTGTTAGATTGATGTGTTAAAAAGCTGAACGCACAGTGATGAGATAGGTTTCTGCTCTACAAATACACACAAAGGGGCTAAAAGCAAACCAAAACCGCCTAGTTCCCCTTTAAGTCAGTACTTGTGCATGCCATCTGAAGTTTGCTAGAGAACCTTTGTATGATCAAGAAGAGTATTAGGAGAATGTTATTATATAGATATTCCGGAACTGCGCTGCTCTGGGTGGCTGCATGTTGGAGTAGCTCTGTTGACTATATGCAAGTTTTGCCTTTTTTGGACATTTTTTCTTCTAGTTTCTCAAGAAAAACTTTTTTTTTTTACATTTTACTTTTCTGTATCTGGTGCGGTGAAGCTTAAGAGGATTTTTACTGCAATTTTTTCACTTTTTTCACTTTTTGAGCATTTGTTATGATGCGTAACCATGGTAACAAGCTGGTTTACAATCAGCAGCAGCTGATTAACATTGGAAAGGTTGAAGTAATACCTCAACTGAAGCCACAAATCCCAAATGAGCTAAAACGCAAGAAGCGTGGGTGCAGAGCGGGAGCAAAACGGAGACAGAAAAAGCAGAAATTCAAACCATCTCTTCCATCAAACATAATGGGCAATGATAAATCAGGTGCTGGTCAGCATCAGAAGCAGGGACCTGAAAAGGCTCAACAGCCTAATAACAAAGGCTGGTTCTGTTCTGGGGACAACTATGGAACCGCTGGAGGAGATAATGTAGAGAAGGATTCTCCAGAGAATCAAGAAAATGATGGACAACCCTGAGCATTCTCTTCACAAGACTGTCCGACAACGGAAGAGTGTCTTCAGTCAGAGGCTTCTTCAGTTTGGCTGCAACACTGACCGCTACTGGAGATCCTTCCTGCCAACAGCCATTGTAATATACAATAACTCTTTGATGACTTGATTATTATTATTATTCTGAGCTACTACAGCAATCAATTTCCCTCTGGGATTAATAAAGTATTTTTGAATTGAATTGAATTGAATTATGGTCAGATGAAACCAAAATACAACTGGAATAGTAAGTCTTTAAAATATAAACATATAAAACCACCACATAATAATTATAAAACAGTGTGTTTTAGCTCTGTTTTCCTGGCTGTTTTTAGCAACATCTTAGCATACAGAAAAGATGGAAAATGTCCACTGGTAACAGACAAACTAACATCAGCTAACCCCTACACACCCCCAACCCCAGCCCCAGCCCCTGGCTGGTGGGCAAGAAGCTGGCATCTCCCCATTGACCATCAGTGTTTATCTGTTAGTCAAACAGCTAAAAAGTGGCTAAATAAAACCTATTAGCATAATTAACACACAGAGAGCTGTAGGCTGCACAAATAAATCAGAAGAGGACAGTAAATGTTAAATTTTGAAGGTTTCGAGTTGATAAAGTAAGGCTATGCAGGGTTTCCCCCAGAAAATGAGATTAAATTAATTTAATTAAAGTGTGTTGGAGCAGAGAAACCACTGAAACCTGCTGGATACTGGCCCTCCAGGCCTGGAATCGAATACCCCCTAATCTAAATGGTTTTATTAGCTTAAATAGCATAAATCAACTTAGCCTAAATCGCGGAGTGGCCAGCTCAGTGGCCTAGTGGTATGGGTGTCCGCCCTGGAACTGTGAGATTGGGATTCAGATCCCGGTTGGGTCATAACAAATGCTTAAAAAATTGGATCCAATGCTTCCCTGCTCGACACTCGGCATTTAGGGGTTGGATTGGGAGGTGAAACCACCAAATGTTTCTCGAGCGCAGCTGTGTCTGCAGCTCACTGCTCCATCAGGAGATGGGTCGAATACAGAGAAAAAATGTCACACACCAGTGTGACAACTAGTGGGACTTTAACTCTGAGGTACAGCTCTGGATAATGGCTGGAGACTTGTGTGGTTGTGCACAGTTACCAGGATGTAAACAATAATTTTCAATTGTTCTACAGATTATCACACAGATATCAGCAGGTTAGACAGTAATGTCTTCTGACTGATTCTAGCATTGCTGTCACTGGAACAACATGTGTTTTATGAAGCCTATTGGTTTTGCATGTAGTTTGCATACTGCTAAATCACAAGAGCCACATATTTACAGGTAGAGAGGCTTTGACACATTGGACTTTTTAAATTAGCAAATGCATCAAATGATCGGTCCAGTACTCAAATGTGATCCCCACCTAACAAATGTCTTTTGTCTTCAAGATAGTACATATACAACACATTCAAGGCAAAATTGAGTTTTTTTGGATTATTTTCACGAGAAAAGTTAGTGGCCCAGAAGGTTCAATGAAATACAAAAGCCACAACACCAGCACGAAAGCCTCCATGTGATTAAAAAAACTGATAGGTTTAAAATTAGTGAAATAAATAATAAAAGAAAGTAGCAAATGAATGTTGTGGTCGATTGAAGCAAAAACAAGTTATAACATCATTACACCAACAATAAGAACATATTCTGGACCATGGGGCTTCACACTGGTGTGGGTCTAGCAGTCATGTTGAGTCTGGTACCAAACACATCTTTTCTCTCTCTCTTGTATTGTGGTGGCCACCATATCAAACACAGGACAAACTGAAAATCACATGGACATATTTGATTTTCATGTCAAATATTGAAGGTTTTTTTTATTTTTAAAAGCAAAAATATTATGAGCGTCCCCCCCCAAGCCATCCTGATTTTATGACAACTTTTTTGCTTAAACAACAAATCCCAAACCTGACAAAAAACAAATATACGATTTTTGTCCTGAAGTTTTGATTATTTGTTAGGAATAACGGATTAATGTATACATTAACTGATAACTGATATTTAAATAGTCTCAGTAGCACCCCTAATTTCAGCATCTGGTAAAAAGAAAACGTTAGTAAGAAACACGTAACCGTTAGTCTCCGTTTGCTTTCTGATCCGCCCAAATATAAAAAATAAGCCCATGTCAAACCGGATATGTCTGAATAATCAAGTCAGATGGTGCATCCTCCACTGTCGTGAGTAAAGCAAACAGAGAAAAGGTCCGCCCCGGACCTCTGAGGCGCCAGAGCCGCGAGGAAAACCGTTCGACTTACCGACGCGAGGAAGCAGACCGAGTACACCTGACGGCTCTGGAGCTCTGAATTAAACATGATGTCCAACGTTAAAGGTGACACTCCGGGAAGCGTCAGCTGGCTGTTTGTAAGAGGCGTAAAGGCGTGTCACGTCAGTGGGTGTGTGCACGCGGCTGCGGCAGGTGACTGTCTTTTCCTTCGCAGGTGTGCACACCTGCAGAAATGAACTCCTGCTACATATTCTCATATGCCTTGTCCTAATGCGACACTAGGCGGCTGTATATCCCACAATTAATTTCCCAGAGGCTCTGGGGGCGTGGTTGGCGTTTCTTCTATATTTTCAGAATAAGAGCTTTGCACCTGTCCAGTAAACACTGTTTGGGAGTATTTCATAAAAAAAAAAAGGTGTAAGCCCCCCCCCCCCCCCCCCCCCCCAAATAAATAAATAAATAACAATTCACGAAAATAAACAAATGAAAACTATGGTTTTATCCTCATGGGATATTTTTTATGTTTGTGCCACAATATTTTATTTTATTTGAATTTATGAAAACATTTAATTGACATTTATGCTGATTTCAGCTCTTGCTTTTATGCTCTTGATTTAGAACTGAGGTCACAGAGAAAAAATAACTCAAATGTAAAACTAACCTTCAGATCTCAAGTTAATAATAGTTGACTTTGAGCATTCCAGGAACAGTCCGGCCTACGTGTCTAAATAATAGGAAGGACATAAGGCAAATATGGCATTTCAAGCCACGTTATTTATTAAACATCTCCAACTAAAGCGTTTAATGTCTGAAAAATCCTAAATATCCCAAATATCTTTCTGAAATCGTCCACCAACATGTCCCGGTGCGTTCCCTTGGGTCAGCTGACCAGAGATTACTAACTGTGCCTAGGTACAGCCTGAAGTCTCGTGGGAGTCGTGCCTTTTCAGTACTTGGACCAAGTCTCTGGAATGAGCTGCCAGCTGATGTAAAACAGGCCAAGTCATTAGAAACCTTTAAAGGAAGCCTAAAGACACATCTGTTCTCGCTGGCGTTTGGACTTTGGGGGAAGTAGGCTGGATATTGGACTGTAAACTTGCACTCAGGTTTCCGTATTGTATTTTTAATGGATTTATTATTGTATTTGACATGGATTTCTTATTGCATTTTAATGGTCATATCTCTGTCCTATTGTGGTGTTTTTTATTGGTGTACAGCGCTTTGTTTGTCCATTTTGGCCATGTGAAAGCGCTCTATAAATAAAGTTGATTTGATTTTGATTTGAAGCCTGTGTAGTGATGCAGAACGATACCGATGGAGCTTATACGACACACCTTATTGCACTGAGATATGTGAATGTTAGTCCCGGGTCCGAAAAAGGTTGGCAGTCCAGGACTGAAACCAGTTTGATGATTACAGATTGTGCTACATCCACATTGTGAGGGCCCACTGAATGTAAGTGCCAGCCCAGCACCAAGTAGTATAATAGAAGGGCTTTAGTCCAGCAAATCCCCAGAACACAGAAGCTGCTGAAGTTTGTACAATGCTGCTACACAACAAGCGTTCTACATCTAATCACGGCAGCACATTTCAACTGAACACATGAGCAGCCATGTCTGAGCTCTGACTCGGGGGGCAGTAAGTGGTCTTGTGACAGGATGTATGGCATCAAATCCAGAGAGAGCATCTGTTGAGAGAAACAATCTGATTTCTGTTGGTTTAGGAAACAAAAAAGCTGTTGGACCAGAGTAATGGATGCTGTCTAGTCACACGTTTACTGTATGTAGGGCTAAGTCAGCAACAAACCACTGTTTTCTAAAAGAAGCTTGTAGAAGACATGTAGTATGTAACCTAAAAGTACTGCTGCTGTGACTGAGACTATCCAATGGGACGGTGCTGGAGGCTAGCTGAGAATGATCTCTCTTAATATTTTATGTGAAGAGGAAGGATGCTTTCATTCAAACTTTTAATTGAAATCGTGTTCATTAGTCTTTGTGAAGTTATGATCAGTAAACCGAATCTTGTTTTTTCTAAGGCTATGAGTTTTTGTAATTATGACAAAAACATGACCTGTCAGCATATAGTTGGACCCAAACATCCGCGAGACTTGGTGAGCTGTTTGTGCAACAGCTTTGATTTAATAATGCCTGTCACAACTAAAACTTTTTGTGTAGTTAATTGCATTTTTGTGATTAACTCTGCTAATTTCTTAAAGATTAGACTCAACAATGTTCACCATTCTTTCTTTAAGTGTTCTGACAAGTCATGCTGGTCATGTCGGTTAGCACAAATCAAAGAACTTTAAGAAGCTCCTGATGAACTTCCTCTAGTTTCTCCGTTTGACAAACTGAGGCCTAGTCCACACGTAGCCGGCTTTTTTTTTTAAACGAATATCCGCCTCTCCAAAAACTTGCATCCACACCACCTTGTTTTAAACAAAAACTCTGTCCACACGTACCCGGATAAATACGTTGTTAAGGACATGCCAGCCATGTAGGCGGCAGTACTTCCCCCATTCTTAACCTCGTCCTTCGTCTGTGGTCTTCCGCGAGGAGCAGTAATTCCGCTTGCAAAAACAAACAAGCAAAAAGCGCTTGGACCATTGATAAAGCGAGCGCAGCTCTGAGGGCATCCATGCTGTCGGCTAGTGTAAACACAGGTCGCACACGTGATGTCAGCATTTTTTTGTCGCGGAAAGTGACGTTGCGGACCTTAAAACTCCGATTTTGTCCGTCCACACGCAGACAACCAAAACGGAGAAAACGCAGATCTTCACTTTGGCCGGGGTTTTTAAAAAGATCCGTTTTCGTGTGAAAAAACTCCGTTTTCGTGTGGATGACAGGCCAAAACGTAGAAAAATATCTACGTTTTGGCAGATCCCCGACTACGTGTGGACAGGGCCTAATATGCCTGTGGGTTTGTAACGAGAACCGTGGCGGTATACTAGGGAACATTTTCCCCAAGCATGACACTTTTTAAGAGTTGTTTCGAGACCAACTGTACAACAATGTAACTTTTCCTGAGCTGCACTATCTACCATACAGTTTGGATCCAAGTCACCACAACATCTCAAATGGGCCAGGAGTCCCACTTTGAACAATTTCAGAAATGCTGAATATTTTTTTATCTGTTGTTGCAGCTGTTGATTCAGCCTGCTGCCCATTTGGCAGAAAAGCCCAAACCAGCGCAGTAAATGTTGATTTAAGCTTCCCACAAATATCTTTTATCAGAAAACAGCAGCTCAGCAAATTCCACTCTAACCTTATTAATACTTTTCAGAGCTCGACAGCTTGTTGACGTTGTCACTAAAACTGCACATGCTGGAAGTGACACGAACTGCAGACGTAACACTGAAAAAGAAAACTGTTGGAGAAATGTTAATCTGCTGTGTGAATCCATCAAATTTGCATAATAAAATGAGTTTACCACTCCTTTGTTAATAAATGTCCACTTCTATGAAAATGTAAGGAGAACCATTTCAGTTTGGAAAGAATTAACTTTAAATCTAAATAAAACAAGATGTATCGTATTTACTAATACAGCAATTACAGTGGATACACATCTCTAAATAAATAACAGAAATTGGAAGAGTGAATGAAATAAAATTTCTTGGCGTAACCATAGAAAAAAGTTATGTTGGATAACTCATATTGACTCAATTACAGTTATCTAAATCATTAGCAGTTCTCTATAAAGTTAAAGAATTTTTAGATGAAAAAGCTTTATATCTTTTGTATTGTTCCTTAATTCTGCCTTATTTCATGTATTGTGGTGAAGTGTGGGGAAACACCTACAAAACCCACTGAAAGCCTTTGTTTATAATTCAGAAGAGAGTAATTCGACATGTAAATAAAGCGGCTTGTAGAGAGCAAACACATTCAGGGTTTCCCTTACATAGGCGTAGCCGCCACGGCTGAAATCCCACCGCCACGCCTACAAGATCCCAAGTTTTATTTATTTATTTATTTGCGCTGTTTCCCGAAGAAGCAGCGGGAACTACTATGTTGTTGCTTGTGATCACAGCCGGCAGGCAGCAAGGAGGAGCAGGCAGGGCAAGGTGAAGTTACAGCATAAGTTATTGAGTTTAAAATTAGAAAGGTAGCAGTGGATAAAATGCTTTTTGGTTTACATGTTTCAGTAGCGTTAAGATAAACGAGTGTTGACGATCTTGACAGGGTTTCCTCCAGTGCTTACTAAGCCAGGTTTTCCTCCCCCCACCAGGCTAAGCATCACTTATTCATGTAAAATTTATTAATTTTTTCATGTCTGACTTTAACCGCATCTAATACTGTATTACTGCGTGAGCGCAACAGCAACAACTTAAGATTGATGTGTGAGCAGCCTGAGAGGCCGGGTGTTTCATCTGAACCCTTAAAACCTCCAGCAGGCTACGCTGCACTATTGACGTGTTAGCGCGCGGCGCTAACAACTTAGCGACGTGACATGTCTCGGAGAAAGCGTAAAAACACGTTGGACGCTTCTTCTGAAGCAGGAAAATAACACTTCTTCTTTAGCAGAGCACGACGTCTCCTCGGCTCGTTCGCCCTCTGCTGAGCCGGACTCAGCTCGATAACATTGACCCAGCACAGCCACTGGGTCGTTGGAGCTGCCCCGTGACTGCCTGATGGAAAACCAGCGGGTTTCATCAGACTCGTAAAGTTTCTTGTTTTTGCTGGGGGCCCCCTGTATTTTACCGCTCCCTCCTGCAGTCTTCCCCTATTAACATTTAAAATGATTATGTAAATTCCGTGTATCAATAGAAAAAAATCTCTGCCTCTGCCAGCTGCAGTAAATGTGGTCTCCAAATAATAAATAAGAGGTGCATTTATCTGTGTATCTACTTCGATCCGCATTAGTGATATTCTCAGCACCAAAACAATGAAGCAAAGAAAGATTCCTGAGTTTGTTAGTCATTTTATTTATTAGGTGCATCTAACCTGTTCTATTTTTCTCTAAAATGAGATCAAATCAGTGGTTCTATGGGTTGTCTCCTCTCTGCACTAGAAAATTTTACTTTATTTAGAGACCTGTCATAATTTCTCCCCAAGGCCCCCCCAACCCTAACCCTAACTGAGATTTATCTACTCCACCTAACCCTAACCCTCTTGAAGGGTGCAGATGCTTTTCTTCTCCTCTCCTCCATGTCTTATCCTCAAGGCTTTGTCTGTCTGTGTGTGCTGGGTGCACGGCTGCTTCTGCATTTTTTCTGGAAACTGGAAACTGAAATTCACTAAAATGGATCTCGTCCGTTGGTCACTCAACGTGGTTCATACAATTTTTTCAACGATGAGAACGGGAGAGGGGGCTCCCGGATGCCCTTCCGGGACAGACCAGCTGTCTGTGGAGGACTCTGAAGACGTGCGGATATTCGTGG